GCTCCCTCAGGTGACCAGCCGTGCGAACGTGCCATCCTAGCTTTCTTAAGACATTGCTTCCCCTTCTTTAACTTAGACCAAGAATGTTGAAAAGCTCAGTACTTCTCCCAAACCTATCTATGATGAGCTCAAGTTGGTTAAAATAAAGTTTTGGGTTTACGTTTTTAAAAAAGCAAAGATATCCTAGGCATTGTGCTGGCTGCTTTCATGTGTGATATCTCATTCACACCCAGAATATTTTTAAATCACAGTATCAGCAGAGATGGTTCTGCCTCAATATATTACAACTAAATTAGTAACAAAGGTTTTTTTTTTTTTTAATGACGTAATGAAGTCATTAGAAATGACCTAAGTTCCCAGGCAAATTTCTTGTTTCCTTTCAAATTTTTAAATTTTAAACTATAGATCAATCCCAATCAGGTTCTTATTTTTGAGATTCAATGGAGCAGGCCTTCCAGAAAAGTCAGCTCTTGTCTAGCCACAAACTGGGAGGGAAAAAAAGTTAAGAATAAAATGGGGAAGTTTCAAGGACAGTTCTAAGTTTAGGTCTGGAGTCAATGCAGAGCATAACTAGATGCTGAATTAGTTTAGGACTCCGGGGTGGGAAGATGAAATTGTGGCATTCTCATGTTAGATTTGCAAAAATGGAAAGTTCAGTCACATAAATAACTGTTTATTGGACCAAATACTTTTGCTGAAGATTTATAAAACACGGATATAGTTCCATTACTACTGAGAATCTAAATTAATTATATAGTAACATTTCTTATATGGAAGACTGCATAGTGCCTGGCTCTACCACTTTCTAATTTTTCTATAAAATGGAAATAACAATATCCAGCGCTACAGCTCCAGGAGGCACTGTTCTCATCATAATCTGTGCAGCGCTCAGTCATAGGCAGCAGCTCTGACAGTCGATGCCTCCCTCAAAAGGTTATTGTGAGGATGAGACAGCATAATAACCCTAACGTATTTAGCATATTTTAAGGGCTCAGTGGTGGAGCCCCAGGGTGGTACAAATGGTTAATGCGTTTGGCTGCTAACCAAGAGATTGGAGGTTCAAGTCCACTGAGAGATACCTCAGAAGAAAGGCATGATAAGCTACTTCTGAAAATTCAGCCACTGAAAATCCTACTCTGACGCACAGAGAGTCACCATGAGTTAAAGTTGACTCAAGGACAACTGGTTGGTTTTAAGGCCTCGATAATGTTAGATTTTTTTTCCAGACTCGTATCTTAAAAACTAAATTTCAAGATCAATAAACAGGCTTGGCAAAAGCAACCGTGTATTGCTTCATGACTTGTTAGCGTATTATTCTTGCCATAATATAATTTTTTTCTTATAAACAAATATCAAATATAAAATTCATATTGATAGCTACCAAAAAAAAAAGTGTATGTAATCCTAAGAAACAGAACTAAAGTATATAAGAAAAATTCACCAAAATATTGATTGAATAGTGTTTCACGGTTAGATTCATCTTAGGCATTTCAATAAGAAAGTTAAGCCCTGAAATTCTAATTTATACCTAGATATATAAATTTATTCCAGAGAATACTGCATTAGGAAAAATTTATATATATGTGAGAAAAGTCAAAGATAAGAATTTGCAAAGTACTATTAAAATGTATTCTTCACTCTCATTGATATTGCTTAGCAACAGTGGAATAAGACTAGGAGATAACTTTTAACATTAAACCAGTGGATGTTTTATGACTGATACTTAAAAAAGTACTTAACAGAAATTTTCAGAATTATTTTTGCACAAGTCAATATTAAATTTTCTCTCTCTCTAGAATTTATTCAGTTCCCCAAGTCATTCTGCAATTTTATTTTTTCCTGTCCTGACTCTACAGATGCACCTACCTTGTCACCAATTTGATATTAGTGTATAATTTACTGTCTTCCCATCTGTCCACTATGCTGGTATTATTACTTTTTCTTAAAGCTCTAAATGACTTCTGATCCTAACATATGGTTTCTGTAGTTACCATTCATATTTAGGCAAGCACATCTGTATATGCACCTCTTGATCGAAAACAGCACTGAAGACAGCAGCAACCCACCTCTGATATTCATCTTGCACACACCGAGTTCTCTGATTACAACCCCTAACATGGCATACAGAGAGACAAAACTGCCACTAAACCATTATGTTCCTGTCTTGTCTAGCCTCATAGCTATCGTTTATGTTGGGTTTACAATCAATGGGAAGTACTTTACATCTACACACATTCATTTAATCTCACAACAACCCGATCCAACCACCATACTATCATTATTATTATTTTTTTGGTCGGGGTGGGGGGGATTCTTTTTTGTGTGCTAAATATTTATGTAACAAAACATTTGCCGCTACAACATTTGTTGCATCTACTATTCAGTGACATTAATTATGTTCATCTTATTGTTCAACCAACACCACTATTTCCAAATTTTTCCACCGTCCGTAACAGAAGCTCAGTATCCCCTGAGCAATGAGTCCATCTCTCTCACCGGCCCCTGGTAACCACCGATAAACTTAGGTCTCTATACACTTGCCTCTTCTAGATATTTCATATAAGTTAGGTCATACAGTATTTGTCCTTTTGTGTTTGACTTCATTCGGCATAATATTTTCAAGGTTCATTCATGTTGTGGCAGGCATCAGGATTTCATTTATCTTTACAACTGAGTAATATTCCATTGTATGTATATACCACATCTTGTTTATCACTTCATCTGTTGATGGACATTTAGGCTGTGTCTACCTTTTGGCTATTGTGAATAGTGTTGCATTTTACAGGTGAAAAACTGAGGCTGAGAGAGACTAAGGAATTTGCCCAAGGCTACACAGCAGCTAGCAAATGAGCCAGGACTTGAACTTAGACAGCAGACTGTAGACAGTGATTGTAACCACTGGGATACCGTTCATATCCAAAGTCCAAGCTACACTCTTGAAATGCTGTATCTTATGTCATTCAAACAGGCAGAAAAATGTCAGCAATATTCAGTCCATGTCAGATTGATGTTATGGGGCTCTCTGTATAATACCTATTAATTTGTGAGTGCTATCAGAATGCAGCATTTTGAACACACTGATGTTGCCAGAGAAAAGAGGTAGATATACCTTTTCTGCCAACTCACATTTTAAAAAATGCTTCTGATCCACCAAAATGAAACACATTTGATTTTATTTGATTAAAGTGCATGAACTATTACCAAAAGCAGTTCATATCTCTTGTTTGGAATTTGAATAACAAATTCTTACTCATTTATCTTTTGAATACATCATTTGTTAAATATGGAGTTCCTTAGCAATATTTACTTTGTCTGAACTTAACCAGGTCCTCAAACTCTTGGTTCTCCCTAAAGCAAAATGAGGATGCATGGAGGAGACCCCACTGTCTTACCTGCAAGGGGGGATACGCTGGCTTGTATTCACATCACACTTCGGTACCAAGATGGTACAAGCGAAAAACATGAGGTATTTGTAACAGTTGGTTTGAACAAGCGCAGGGAAAAGAGAGGACTCCCAGCTGATGGATGCTTCCTTCTGAGTACCATGGCCAAGGTAATTTGGATAATTTGTATGGTTGTAAGGCAAATTCATGCAGAGCTCCAGTGTAATTGGTTCACATTGACCTAGCAAGACAGTACACACACAGATTATACATGCATTTTAAATTTCACATGTAAAACATTTTTTTAAAAACTTACAAAACTGAAGTCTATCTTACTTCTTTAAAGTAGCTAAGACTAGAATGCAAGTAGTATAGAACATTTCTCTGGGGATATCAAAAGATAAATAAATTTTCAATGAAGTGCCATGGCAAACCCAGATTCATCTTTGAACAATATGGAGCTGCGAGCAAACCAAGACTCTCCTCTATGTGTAGAGCTGCCAGCACAGTGCCCGGCAGGCATGTTTTGGAAAAATCTTCTCTCATTTTTTCCCTTGGCCCAGCTTAGCTGAAAGTGAATCTTTTATGATACCTTTTATTCACTTCAATTCACCCTCTTCTTCCGATCGATTCATTACTTCTAAACTAGTGTTCCTCCTATCATCTTCACAGTCATTTAAAAAAGCAATGTATTTCATTAAACAGGCAATTAGATGACTCTTTTCTATATGCTTTATTGTTGATGAGTGAAATTAAGGTTATAAAATTTCAAGGCAAGAGGGGTTTGAGTTTGGATACCACTTGCCAGTGAGATACAATCCAAACTCTTTAGCGTGGAATTCAAGGCTATTTTACAATCCAAATACAGTCTAACTTCCCAACCTCATTGCCTATAGCCATCTCGTCAGCAGCGTCTCTGCTGCACTGAATGCTGTCCCTTGGTGCCACCAGATATTTTAAGAATTGTGTGCCTTCGAGCGTCTTGTTTGCTCCCCCTTCTTTTCTTGGCATACGGGTAATCAACCCCCTCAAATGCGATCATGTTTCTTGATGCCAGATACATCCAGAACCCACTGCCTGGAATGGTGCTTTTCCATTCTCTCCACCAAGCTAATTCCCCTTTGCTTTGCAAGACTCAGTATAAATCTTTCTTCTAAGAAGGCTTCCTGGCTAACCACCCTCTCCAGCCCCTCCCAGTAAGAGTTACGTGTGTCTCTTCCAAAGAGCCACAGCACGTTAAGCATATTCCTGTCATACACTCATTGCTCACTACTTGTATTCTTTATTTACTTGTCTCCTCCACACAATTCAGAGATTTTTTGAGAAATGAAACTTTATCTCTTTATCTCAAAATTGGCACCTAGCACAATGCCAGAATGAAGGAAGGAGGAAGAAAAATATATCAGGTACTGTCCTAGCCCGTGGAAATGCAAAAATAACGAAAACTACAATCCCTGTCATTAAGGAACTCCACAATCTTGGTAGGAAGAAAGACACATGTGCGTGTGTAGCTGCAGTATAATGTGAAGAGGCTACCACCCATCACCGGTTGCCATTGAGTCAATTCCAACTCATGGCGACCCCATGTGTTGCAGAGTAGAACTGCTCCATAGGGTTTTCAAGGCTGTGAGCTTTCAGAAGCAGATCATCAGGCTTTTATTCCGAGGCTCCTCTGGGTGGGGTTGAACCATCAACCTTTTGGTTAGTAGTGATTATTTGCACCACCCAGCAATTCCGTGAAGAGGCTAGGATAATGGTATTGAACAAAATGCTAGGAGCCAAAGGGACAAGGTGGAGCAAGAGAGGCTCAGTAAGTCTTACAAAGACAAATGGGGTCCGGACACGTTTGAGGGAATGTGGCAGAGAGACTTCCTGTTCCCTCTGTGTTCCCCGAGGTTGATGTGCCACATTCCTGAGAGTGAGAGAGGTAATCAGGTAATCTCAGTAGACTTAGTGCAGGCAGGCCAAAGACTTAATGCCTTATTAAGAGTAATTATTCAAATTAAACTTAATTATTTGGCTAAGAAGTGGTATGCAAATAGATTAGCAACAAGCAATAGGGTGAAATAATAAAATAGCACTGAGACTACTTCTCAATTACAAGTATCAGAGCTTCTCAGATATTATGTTTGTAAGGCGCCTGAAGCTGGCCAGATTAAAAGTGTTATATACAAAGTCAAATATGACTCTTTCCTGGGGAAGACTAACACTACAAAGTTGGCATAATCTTGAGGTTAAGGAGACAGAGGAGGTATAGTGTTGGTTCAGTTTATAGTTTTCTTTTATTTTTGAGAGAGAAGTAACATTTAAATAGCTTACGTTTTCAAATTACGAAAGAATACATGCTCCTCCCAACAGTAACGACAACACATAGATGTATAAAGAAAAAAATTCATCATCTGCCCATTCCCCTTTCTCTCATCTTCCCTGAAAGCCAACAGGCAGGCTTGGATCCTTCCCTGCCTTTCACTTGTTTATATTTATACATACAAGCATTTATATACATAGATTAAAAAACCAAGCCTATCGCTGTCGAGTTGATTCCGATTCATAGCAACTCTATATGACAGAGTAGGACAGTCCCATAGGGTTTCTGAGGCTGCAAATCTTTATGGAAGCAGACTGCCACATCTTTCTCCCACAGAGCGGCTGGTGGGTTCAAAAGGCTGACCCTTCGGTTAACAGCCAAGTGCTTAATCACTGTGCCACCAGGGCTCCCTACATACATAAATAGGGATTTTTATTCGTTGCTTTGTTTTTACCAAAGTAGAATTGTTCTATCCCTATTGCTCTTCAATTCGCCTTTGTTGCTGAATTATTTATCATGGTCATCGTGCAAGTCAGTAGATACAGCTCTAACTCTCTATTTTTTCCTAATGCCTTTAATATATATATACTTTTACAAAAATGTAATTATTCACGTAGATTTTTGGTGCGATCATTTTTCTTTGCATATGCTTCCTTTCTCTCCCTCTACCACTCATCAAGTTTAACTTTTTAATCAGTATATTTCATTTAGATGATTAATAGAACATAATACATGGATAATTTTTCTCTCATTGGATCTATGGAGAACATATCGCTTTTGATTTGGGATAAGATATAACCTCTAAGTGTTCCAGAGCTAAGGGAGATGAAAAGATTAAGATATGGTCATATATTATTCTGGAAATCTTTACTGAATGTGGTAAGGCTGATTGAATCTTGTGTTTTATTCCTTCAAAAGGAATTCTTCACAGAGTGCTAAGTAAGATAAACTCTCAAGATACCTGTCAAACCCAAATTCTATGATTTATGATATCAATAAACTTTTTCATCTAAAGCATTAGACTCACTCAAGTTCCTGATTTAGGACTGCCACTAGAGGGCCATCTCATCACAAACATGTGAGGATGTTCAGATGCCCAGGACTGTTCAACGCAAGTTTGATGCAGTGCCTAGTACAGTGTCCTGACAAAGATGAAATTTAGTAAGTTTAATTGAAAAACGATCCTGATAGAGTATCAATGATATTTCACCCTTCAATGTCTGACATCATAATTTGTTAAACTCCATCTCAAGAAGCGACTGTTAAGTAAATTATCTTATATTCTTGTCAGGATGGAGTACACTGAAGCCCCTGGAAATGATGGTCATTTACATGAGAACATGTCACTTTTCTACATCCAGTGGCAAACATAATTCAGATATTCTAAATTTCTCTTTATCAGTATTTAATAGTTTGATTTAAACTATAACAGTTTATAATATAATAATATAATATATATTTATTTTATGTATTTTTTATTTAATATATATGCTAAAGTTTATGAAAGTTTTTTCATATAAGAAAAAGGACTGCCAGACATTTCAGAAGCCCCTCCATGTACCCTCTCCCATCTCAACCTTCTCCTTTCCCCTCAAAGTAACCACTGAGTTTCATACTTATCACGTCCATGCTCTTCTTTACAGTTTTATTACCTGAATGTGCAACCCTGTAGATACTATAGTTTAGGCTTGCTCACTTTGTAAAACTTGTTTCGTCTTCTAACTTTTATAATCTGATAGCTGCCACCACCCATTATTTTTCCTTATAATTTTACTCTTGAAGAATCCAGGGATTTGACCACTACACTGTGTGTGAGAGTTGCAATGATGCATATTGCAGCTTCCTGGTGAGGTTAAACATGTTCCTCTGTCCTCTCTATTTCCTGAAAATTGGCAAGCAAATCCAGAGGATTGATCAGGTTTCCCGCCTTTGACAAGACTATTGGCGGCCATGGTGTTCTTTCATCAGAAGGCACATGATGTCTGGTTTCTCTCTTTTTGTGATGTCAGCACCTGTAGTTCCTCAGATCCTTGACACATTAATTCACTGCGTGCTACAGAATGGTGATATTCTAATTCAGTCATTTATATTTCACTTATTAGGTAGCAATGCTTTCAAAAAGAGAGAACTTCTCTCATCTACTTGCTCTCATCTATTTGCTTACCTAGTGGTGGTGTTCATAAAGGAAAGGCAAAATAAATGATTATTACCCTTTATGACAACTTGTCAAGAAAAATGAATTGGTTACCTATCATTTTCCAAAGGTGACCAATGGTTATTTATTTTTAAATATCATTATAAACGTATGAATTTGAACATATGGCACAGTGATTAAGTGCTCGGCGGCTAACTGACAGGTTGGCTGTCTGAACCCACCAGCCACTTAGTGGGAGAAAGATGTGGCCATCTGCTTCCATAAAGATCACAGCTTTTGAGACCCTATGGGGCAGTTCTACTCTATCCTATAGGGTCAGTATGAGTTGGAATCAACTCGACAGCAATAGGTTTTTTTATGGGACTGATTTCAATCAAATGCTATTATTTTCTTTTGAAGTTCAAATCGCCCCTGTCTTTAGCCAGCAGTATCCTTTTCAGGTTGGCCTCTGAATCCTTTTGACATGACCATAATCTTTACAGCTTCCTCACTACATGGTATGATAAGATGTCCCAGACTTATTTTATGCATTTTTTTTGCCCCAGGCCTAGAATCAGGCATTTTTCCAAAAAGCTCCTGGTTTCTTTTAAAAGGAAATGATATTTCAGGACTGCAGTCTGGGTGCATCAGGGATGTCCATTGCTACTGGGTTAGTCATTGTTCTTAGGCCCTTCAGTGGACAGAGCTAGGAAATACATACATGTGTATATGTGTGTGAGTGTCTGTGTACACATAAATAACATGAAGACACACATTCATACATACGTACATTTTTTAAGATAATATATTTCTTGACTTCCTACTAATACTTTCACTTCACATTCAGGACTACTTAATTTTTTAATCTCTTCTGTATTACATCTAGGAGCCCTGGTGATGCAGTGTTAAGTGCTGGGCTGCCAACTGAAAGGTCAGCAGTTTGAACTAACCAGTGGCTCTTCAGAAGAAAGATGTGGCCGTCTGCTTCTGTAAAGATTATAGCCTTGGAAACCCTATGAGGCAGTTCTACTCTGTCCTATACGCTCTCTGTGACTCAGAATCTACTCGACTGCAATGGGGTTTTTGGTTTATATCACATCTGTTGCTCTTTTCTTCCAAACCAAGAATCCTTAGCTCTCAAAGACACAGTGAATGATAAAAATAGAAGAGTCCATAATTAACTCACTTACTTTATACCACATCACATGCACAACAGTCTCAAGGAAATGAGACTGATACTACCACTGATAATATTACTACTGAGAATTTTAAAATGTTTTTGCATATGCTTATCTCCCTGAATTTGTAAACTATGCAATGTACTCCATCCATATCATGAGTTTATAGCCATTACATTCTCCCTCCCTCATAACTTTCATTTATTCTTAATTCTACAATAAGTATGCTTATAAGTCTGTATCTCTCCATTCCTTTGTTTATCTGAAACTTGTTCTCTGGTAGATTTCTCTATGTTGGTAATAGCTTGTGCCCTTCACACCTGAAGGTTAGTTTTTATGGATATAAATCCTTGGCTGACATGTTCTCTTCTTGATATCGTCAATACGTTACTCCGATTTTTTTTTTTTCTGGCATGAAGTGTAGCTATCAAAAAGTTTCATGACAATTTAATTATATACACACACACACACGAAGGTAAGTCAAAAAGTATTGCAACTAGGGTTCCAGTTCATACATGCACAAGTTTATTCCAAATAAAACATGTTTAAACATGTCTTGTGATCAGTGGATGGCCGCAGAAGAGTTCTCTCAGTAACACACTTGTCTTAGCCTCATTAGGGTGCCCTCAAAAAAAAAAAAAAAAAAGGATAGTTCTTGTACCATGGAAAGAAACAATTTTGAGGTCAAGGCTAATATTGAATTTTTAACAAAACCCAGTGGACATCTTCCCAAATCATTGCCTCTTCAGACTTCTTCTTGTTCCCAAGACTCAAAGAACATTTAAAAGGAACAGGATTTGAGTCTCTTGAGGATGCTAAAACTGCTGTTTTGACGTGGTGTAAATCAAAGATTGAAGAATTCTTCAGGGAAGGGTTAGAGAGATGGAAACACTGCCTTCAGAAGAGTACAGGCCTAGATGGAGGATATGTCAAGAAACAATAGCTTCACATTTTGATATTTTTGTTTAATAAAGGTTTCTATGATTTTGTAGTAATATTTCTTGACTTTCCCTCCTATATATACATATGTTGTTAGGTGTCATCAAGTCAGTTCCAACTCACGGTGACCCTGTGTATGACAGAACAAAACATTGCACCATCCTCACAATTGTTACGCTTGAGCCTCTTGTTGTAGCCACTGTGTCAATACATCTTATTGGTCTTCCTCTTTCTTGCTGACCCTCTATTTTACGAAGCATGATGTCCTTCTCCATACACTGGTCCCTCTCAATAACATGCACACAGTACATACATACAATGAAACCTGTGAGAGCCAGAACTTAACAGGACTGCCTTGTTTTTCTGGGTCCCATAAGTTCCCCGCCTTTCCCAGGGTGCAGTCTTACCACTTTTCTATTGCTTGTTTTGGTGGAAAATATTTGAGTCTTCCTTCTCTGACAGATTTATGTCTTACACAGTTTCTGACTTTTGCAGGTTTTATTGTATATATATTTAAATGTATATATTTAATCAACATTACGTATATTTAATCGGTTTAAAACCCATTAAACCCATTGCCATCAAGTTGATTCCAACACATAGAGACCCTATAGAACAGAGTAGAACTGCCCCCCATAGGCTTTCCAAGGAGCGGCTGGTGAATTTGAACTGCTGACCTTTTGGTTAGCAGCCTTAACATTTAACCACTGTGCCACCAAGCAAAACAGCAGTATGTCTTAATGGCAAGACTATATCCACTTGACTGTTCTCTCATATTGGAAATGGAAAAAGAGTCGGGTATTGTGCTTTCAGTGAAATAATTATTAGGTACTTATGCAAACAAACAAAAAGACCTGTCTGGGTTTTTCATCAGCTATCTCCCACAAATCCCTCCTCAGCCCACTTTCTTCATCCCCTAAGACTCACTAACAGTTACAGGGGCACTCCCTATAAGCTCTCCATTGACTCAGAAAGGTCACCAAGTAAAACTAGGACCCAAAATTTACAGCGGATTCAAAGACTTGAGCCTTTCAGCCTCCAATCTTCCAAAGGCATTAGAGAGAGATGTGTGTTAAAAAGTAGTACCCACTTGCCAATCAAAAGCTGACTGACCTGGTTCTAAATTTCTAGCCCCAAGCTGAAGGTGAGGAAAAATAAATTATAAAAAGTAATAGAAATTAGTAGAATATGAAAGCAGGGCCCAGAAGTAAGGAATCATTACTACAAATCAGCATCTTTGGGGATTTTCTGGTTCATTTGAAATTTCCCTTGAGAGCCTGTTCAGAGCACCACCACTCTCCCTTCTATCTTCTCCCAAAAGTTCCTCCTCTAAAAAATCCTGTTTAGAGATAGCCACCTGCTCACACCATCTGGAGCTGTTATACTGTCACTGGAACAAATCAACATACACTCCAAGATCATTAGAAGTCAGTAAAGTTCCTGGAAAGGTGAGAATAAATTTTATTAAAAGGACAGACCGCCAAAGTTATATGTGGCTATTTAGATGAACTTCATATTTGCTTCTTGGATGGTTTCCATTTTTGAAATCGTGTTTAAGAAGGAAGAAAGATAGCATCTGCTTGCAGACAGAGCCAAGAAAATAATATATAGGACCTGATGTTAAGTTGAAAGTAATGGTAATGATATTAAGCAATGTGGATTTATAGCTCATTCTCCATGACACATTTGTTTCTGATTTAAGTTAATGAAGACCATTTTGTTTCTTTTCTGCTACCACATGCAACCTTTAGAAAAGAAAAGGAGAATAGGTATACTTTTTTTGGAGGAATTCCAGACGTCAGCATTTTAAAGTTCACAGGAAAGAAAAAAGCTAAAGGCATGCCCTGACGCGGTGATTGCATTTGTCAGCTGTGGTACTTACCACAGTTACTTGGACTGGTGTTCGGGTCACACAGAGAGCTACCACCGCATGAATCAAGGCAGGAGTTGTGGAGGCATCTTTGGTCTCCTTCTTGACATGAGGTCTGACCTACCGGGGGGAAAGGCACATTCACTTTCATCATCTGTAAATTCCTTCGACTAGGATCTAAAGGATTAAGAACATCTGGTGGAGCTGAGGAATGACACAACTTTAATTTCCTTCCAGTTTCTCCCACAATATTGAACGCATGTTGAATAGATACTTTCTGGATTAATTTTTCCGGCAACTAAATACAATATTTATTCCAAAAGAATTCTGTAGGAATGAAGAAATAAAAGGTTGCTGTTGCTTTCAGTGGGAACAAAACAGGAGTTCACCATGAGCGGGAGCTAACTCATGGCAGCTAACAACCACCAGCTACATGGTAACAAAACAGGTTTTTGTTACTTTTAGTGGAAAAACAAAACAATGTTTTCTTTTTACAGGAGTGCATACACTTCATTAGAAATAAAATTCAAGTGATTTGAGGGAGAAGGAAATATAAAGCTGTTGAAATTCTGAATTATTAAATGGCACTGTGTTTTAAAGACTCATTTGCTCCCCACTCTAGTCTCTCTAAGGAAAATACTTTAATAATAAATACGTTATCAACACCAATTCAAAAAGAATATTTTATTATAGTACACGTCTTATGCAGCTGTTATCAATATTTTCTGCATGTCCTTGCAAATTATCATCGGCCTAGCTGTGATGCCTGAGAACTGGGCTTCTTGTTTCCAAATGAATGACAGCAGTAGCGTCACCCTTTGCCCTAATGGATTTTCCTTAAGGTTTGTGGAGAGGAAACTGCTTCCCTTATTGATTTCCTGGTCATTTGTAGATTAAATGGATAAGGTAATAAATTACTGCCCATTTTTTTTGTCTACTCTCCCCATTATAGTCAATTACTTTCAGACACGTCCTTGGAATATAGAAATCTTGCCAGGTATTTTTAAGTATAAATAATATACATATATGTATAATCATTCTTATCTATAGATTCTAAGACAATGCATCTTCTACTGGAAGCTTCCACCTTTCCAATACTACCAATGAGCAACACTATATATCAGAGCCTTGAGAAAAATTGCAAAAAAGAGACGTCGCTTTTTTTTTTTTTGACTGTCAGCAGGCTCAAACTTTTTCTCAAGGCAACTTTTTCTCAAGGCTCAAACTTTTTCACAACCAGTTGCTATGGAGTTGTCTCTGACTTACAGTGATCTCGCCCACATGTGTCAGAGTAGAACTGTGCTCCATAGAATTTTCGATTGCTGATTTTTCAGAAGTAGATGGTCAGGCCTTTCTTCCAAGGCACCTCTAGATGAGGTCGAACCTCCCACCCTTTGGATTAGCAGCCAAGTGTGTTAACTATTTGCACCGCCCAGCAACTCCTTCTGAAGGCAAGCCAAGCTAATTTCCATGAGTTTAGGCTCTTAAGGAAATTCAATATTTTAACCAATATTAAGTGCCCACTATATAACAGCAAGGAGCCCTGGTGGCCAAATGGATAAAGCATTTGGCTGCTAACTGAAAGGTCGGCTTTTCGAACCCACCAGCGTCTCCGTGGGAGAAAGATGTGGCAGTCTGTTTTCATAAAGATTACAGCCTTGGAAACCCTATGGGGCAGTTCTACTCTGTCCTATAGGGTCGCTATGAGTCGGAATCAACTCGATGGCAATAAGTTTGTTTATATGACAGCACCTCAAAAGAAAGTCTTGATGATCTACTTCCAAAAAATCCACCACTGAAAACTCTGTGGAGCACAGCTCTCCTCTGACACACATGGAGTCACCATGAGTCAGAATCAACTCCATGGCAACTGTTTTTTTTTTTGTTTTTTTTTTATGTGACAAGTACTGAGCTAGGCACTGAGTATTAAAAGATAAAAGAGCACCATACCCTCTATGAAGAAAATTCTACTCTAATAGGGATGTCGTCATGAACAAAACCTTACAATGCTGAGTAACCATTGTTCTCATGAAGATTTGCATAAAGAGCAGTGGAAGCAAACCAAGGCAGTAAGGGGAAGCTTCTCAAACGAGTTTTCCAGGCAAATGGGGTCGGTTGGGATGATCAAGAAGGATGGGTTTCCCAAGCAGAGCAGCATATGGAAAGGTCTGGAGGTAGGAAAGTGCACAGGTCAGAATCACTGGAGCATAAACCACTGAGAAGGAGGGTATGAGGAAGACTGGACCAGTAGGCTAAGAGAGAGCCTGGAGAGCTTTAAAGGCCTAGATCCTTAATAGGGCCCAAAGCTCTGGTGGGGGGGAGTTCCTGAGTGATGCAAACGGTTAATGCACAGCTGCTAACCAAACGGCTGTAGGTTCGGTTCGAGTCCACCCAGAGGCTCCTTGTAAGAAAGGCCTGGCAATCTACTTCTGAAAAATCAGCCACTGAAAACCCTATTGAACACAGTTCTACTCTGACACACATGGGGTCACCATGAGTCAGAATCAACTCCACTGAAACTCTTTTAAAGCCTTGGCAGAGTAGTCCCTGCTTCTCTCCCCAGCCTTGTCTAGCTGAACAAGGTTCCCATCGATGTTAACAATTGTTATTTAGTGCCATGCTACCCTTCACTCCCAGCTTTCTTGTCATAATAGCCTTTTCTCAGTCCCCTATATGTACCTTGCTCCTTCCCACCTCAGGGATTTTGGGCAAGCTGTGCTCTCTCCAGCCTGAATTTCCTTTGTTTAGTTAACTCCATGCACTCGTCAGATCTTAGCTCCAGTATCTCTTCCTCAGGGAAGCTTACTAGGCATGCATCTTGTTATATAGCATCATAGCCCCCTGGTTTTCTTCACAGCCTAATGTAACTTCGTCATTAGATAGTAACTTGCATGTCTATTTGTAGAATGCCTCTCTCCTGCAGGAAGCTGCAAGCTCCGTGAGCTGTTTTGCTGGCCATTGACTTCCTGGTGCGAATCACGTATTGTTGTTGTTGTGTTAGCTGCTGTCAAGTCAGCTCCGACTTATGGTGGCCCCACGTACAACAGAACCAAATGCTGCCTGGTCCTGTATCAGACAATATTCTGTTGTGATCCATTAAGGTTTTCATTAGCTAATATTTGGAAGTAGATTGTCAGGCCTTTCTTTCTAGTCTGTCTTAGTCTGGAAGCTCCACTGAAAACTGTCCACCATGCGTGACCCTGTTGGTATTTGAAATACCAGTGGCATAGCTTCTAGCATCATAGCAACACACAAGCCACCACAGTATAACAAACTGACAGACAGGTGGCAGGACAGTGTGTCAGTTCCACAATAAACATGTATTAACTCGAATTCACTGGAGTAAATAATAATATATAGGTGCTAGAATTTTACCTCTTGAAACATTTTATCATGTGACTTTCTTATACCTCACACGTAAGGAAATAATTTAAAACTCTTACCATAGCATAGTAAAGAATCCAAAATTATTCCAAAGAAAGTTGAATTATGTAGAATGAAAGAATAATTTGATCTAAAAGGAGGTATGTGGCTTATATGCACACAATAACTCATGCCTAGAAAATGATTTCCTTCCAAATTTGAAAACTGGTAAGACTAAGCATGCCTTATATATTATTTTTATGTAATAAATCTGTGATTAGAAAGCTCTTGCTTTAGGTTTTGGATGCATTTTCATTAAAGCTATTTTAATAGTCAGTATTCATAATGACAAAACTAATTTAGCTACAGATGACCAGTTTTATTAGACATACACAGCCCAAAAAAGGTTTAGCAAGAAAAAGGCCACTTATTGAGTTCTCACGATTTGTCCAGCACTGCTTTAAGTTTGTTAGTTGAGTTGACTAATTTAGTTCTCACAACAACCCTAAAAAGTGGCTATCATTATCCAGAGTTTACAAAGAAGAAAACTGAGACATAAAGAGGTTTAAGTATCTTGCCTTAAGTTAACCAGGTAGTAATAGAAGAGCTGAGACTGGATCCCAGGTATCTGGGCTGCAACTACCACATTCTTAATCACTAGGTTATCCCTATATTATATAAATAAATGCAGTGGTTTTAAGTCTAGGGATATTGTTACCAACGCAGGACTGAAAGCTGCTTCCACACAAACCAGGGATCAAAACAATCAGTATAGAACCTTCTTCCCTGACAGAAATATTCACATTTTAAAAACCAACTTATTTGATTTGCTTTTTTGTCCTTTTAAAGTTTCGCACACGAATATCTGACTCCTTATAAAGTATATTTAAGTACACCTGTTGCCGTCGAGTCGATTCCGACTTATAGCCACCCTATACTGCTCCGTAATGTGAGGCATTAAATAGCTTCTCTAAACGTGGTTATTTTAGGAAGCTGTTACATTTAATTTCAGCAGCCAATTCCTTCTAATTGGAATCTAATCTAATTGAATACTATATGCTAAGCTTTTCTTTTTATCATGGTGTTGCCTTCCCCCATAAAACAGTTAACTGAATTTGACCATGCTGTTTTAAGTGCTTAACCTCTGCCCTTTCCCATTAGGAATGATTTTACAGTATAGGTTGCTCAAGAATTATATTTACTGTAAGAAAAGATTTTCTGGCTGAGCAATGCTATAAGGACCAGCACATTCAGCAGTCTAGAATTATTTATGCATGAATCCTATTTAAGCATGGGTTACTTCACACTTTTTGCTTTGTTACCAAAGACAGGTCCACCCATAAAGGAATGTCTCAGGGGAGGTAGCACATACTTACTGTCACTGCAGTTCTCCTCATCACTCCCATCTTTACAGTCTTCGTCTCCATCGCATTGGAAAGTGCTGGGGATACATTGCCCATTTCTGCATTCCACCAGACCCTGGCTGTGGCAGGCTAGGAGAAGCCAGAATAGTATTCACTGTGTGTATGAATACATCTTTCAATCTGTAGATCATATAAATGATTCCCATTTGTCTGGTCGAGAAATGAAGAGTCTTACATATGTGAATGTTTTATGTAAATGAATGAATGTATCTATTTCATCATCCTTTTTGAATTCCAAGCATTTTTGGAATGGAAAGTTTTGTGTTACTTATTATAACTTCTCCTGTCTTATTAAATAGCAACTACTAAAAAATAACTTTTTCTTGATAACTGCATGGAGGGAAGTAGTATTAATGATGATAGTAGTAATACTACTAATAAGAAAAGCTACGACTTAGGTTAACTTGCTTGGCTGCTAGGAAGGGGTGGAAGTTTGAATCCACCCAGAGGTGCCTTGGAAGAAAAGCCTGGCAATCTACACCTGAAAAATCAGTCATTGAAAGCCATACGGAGCACAGTTTTACTCTGACACACATGGGGTTGCCGTGAGTCAGATTCTACTTGAGGGTAACTGGTTTATATGGAAAGAAGTGTGCTAGGTGCATTATGTATATGATCTCAGAGCCTCGTAACAAACTAACAAGGTAAATATTATCATCCTTGTTTTACAGATAATAAAACTGAAGCTTAAAAAGTTTAGTGTCCATCTTTAAGTTATATGGCTGTAATGGTACAACCACTTTGGAAATCGATTTGGTGTTTCCTTAAAAAGCTAGAAATAGAAATACCATAGGATCCAGCAACCCCACGCCAAGGAATATACCCTAGAGAAATAAGAGCCATCACATGAATAGACATTGCACACCCGTGTTCATTGCAGTACTATTCACAAAAGCAAAAAGATGGAAACAGCCTAAATGTCCATCAACAGATGAATGGATAAGAACATTACAGTACACATACACAATGGAATACTATGCAACAATAAAGAACAATCATGAATCCGTGAAACATCTCACAACAGGAATGAATCTGGAGGGCATTATAGTGAGTAAAATAAGTCAGTCAAAAAAGGACAAATATTGTATGAGACCACTATTATAAGAACTCAAGAAAAGGTTTACACACAGAAAAAAGCATTCTTTGATGGTTACAAGGAGGTGGAAGGGGAATCACTAACTAGATAGTAGACAAGGGTCAACTTTGGTGAGGGAAAGGACAGCACACAATAGAGGGGAAGTCAAACAACGAGACCAAAGCAAAAGCTAAGAAGTTTCCTAGACACATCCAAACACTTTGAGGGACAGAGTAGCTGGGGCTGGGGCCTGGAGACCATAGTTTTGGGGGACTTCTAGGTCAATTGCCCTAACATAGTTTATAAAGAAAATGTTCTACATCCCACTTTGGTGACTAGCCTCTGGGGTCTTAAAAGCTTGAGAGCAGCCATCTAAGATACATCTATTGGTCCCATCCCACTCGGAGTCAAGGAGAATGAAGAAAATCAAAGACACATGCAAAATACTAGCCCAGAGGACTAAAGGACCACGTGAACCAGAGATGCACAGGCCTGAGACCAGAAGAACTAGATGGTGCCTGGCTACCACCAATGACTGCCCAGACAGGGAACACAACAGAAAGTCCCAGACAGAGCAGGAGAAAAATGTAGACAATAATTCAAATTCATATAAAAAGACCATACTTGATGGTCTGACAGAGACTGGTAGAACTCCCGAAACTACGGCCCCTGGACGCTCTGTTAACCCGGGACTGAAACCATTCCCAACGCCCACTTTTCAGACAAAGATTAGACAGGTCTATAAAACAAAAAATAATACACGTGAGGAGTGTGCTTCTTAGTTCAATCAAATATATGAGACCAAATGA